AATTTCAAATTTTATATGCAAATAATAAAATAGAATATAGAAAGCAATAAATGCTAGAACTTTTGGGAGAAAATGAAAAATTTGCCATCTTTGTGTAATATTTCAACAAATTTCAAATGTTGAATCAAGGATCTAAAAAGCCATATTTATGGAAGATTTTTAATAGAAAAATTAACACATACTTGATTTAAAGTACATAAATTGATCCCTGTATAAAAAAATTAGAGAACTCAAAAAAAGAGAGAAAAGTAATATACTTATAGCGTTCACATAGAACATTTATAAAAATTGACCATATACTTGGCATAAGTCATGTCTCAGAACATGTTAAGATACTGATATTAATTACTGTCTCAGACCACGATGTGCTGAAGATAGATGTGACAATGGAAGGATCAGAGAACATGGAAACAGGTCTCCAGATATTGGACATTTGGTGCGACAAAGGTCGTGTTGTAGGTCAATGGGAAAATAGAGACACTCAATCCGGCCAGGACATTTATTCACATGGAAGAAAATTTAATTAGATCTCTACATCCCTATAAATACAAAAATCCATTCCAGACAGATCTAAGGTTTAAGTGTAAAAGGTAGAACTAACAGTTTTAGAAGATAAGGGAGAATATCATATAACCTTGGGACAAATACTTCTTTAAGAGATAAAGCAACAATCATAAAGGGTAAACTGATAAATTCAAACACATTAAAATTAAGCACTTGTGTTCATCAGAAGCAATAAGCTTGCCAAAAACCTGTTTTTTAGTTACATAGTGCCCCCTCCTGTCAGTGTTACATATCCTTCTACTTCACCTTGGCACAGAGACTTTCCTGATCCCCCAAATAATGGAAGTGGTACCTATTCTGAGCTTCCAGATCATTTTGCTCATTTTTATTAAAGCAGGTCCCTTGTTACATAAATCAATTGTTTTGGTATAAGGACACATGATATAGATTGGAAAGCCGCAGTCCTTTCCTTAGGGATCTTTCATTTAGAGGAGGGGACAAGCAAGAAATAAGACCACTACTTATTTCTTCGAGGATAATGTTCTGGTTAAGGAGGAGTATCTAACCCAAATAGATAAGGTCAGAGAGGCTTCCTGGGAAAATCTAATTCCATTGTAGTAAATAATGATGGGTAAAGTAGATAACCAGGCAAAAAGCATGGCAAAGTGTTATAGGTAGACCAGTCTTCTTTTCTTAAATTCTCACCCCCTGCTAGAGGTCTCTTCAATGATCTACTCTAAAATGACTATCAGTCTTCTCTCAACACAAAACACCTTATGTTCACTCTCTTTCAAAATTTCCAAACAACCAAATTCCAATTTAAAATTATGAATTTATTTTTATTAATTTATCTGTCTCTGATCAGACAGGAATATAAATTATATCTATTTTCACTACTGTGTACCCTGACACATAGTACATACTCACTACATACCTGTTGAATGAACTGGAACAAATGAAGTTGGAACAAATGTGAAGCTTTAGGAATGCTAGACAACTGATTGAGTTCAAGGAGCTCCAGGTAGTATGGTATGGATGTAACACTGGAATGCAGTTGAGGAGGAAGTCTGGGTGAGGCAGAGAGTTTGCCAGGGGCTGGATCACTAAAAAACTGTATGTCTTTTTAAGCAGTTTGGATTTCAATCTAAAGAGTAATTGATAACCACTCAACGTTTCAAGCTGCTGGGTGGTTGGTTTTGTGACATGATCACATTTGCACATCAGAAAATTTGAAGATTAAACTGCAGTGGAGGTGGGATTGTCATTCAGAAAGTTGTTGAAATCCAACAGAACTACTAAGGGCCTGCGTTGTGGTTGGGCAGAGGGGATGGAGATTGGAAGTGTTTGGAGAATTATTGGAAAGAAAAGAAGGTGTGGGGCAGAAGAGGAGTTAAGGACAATGCTTAGAATTTTGGTTTGGGCAATTGAAACAGGCACCAACGTAGAGATTAGGAGAAAATGACCATATTTGGATGGGAGGGTTGAGGTTATGATTTATTAGGGAATTCTGAGTTTCAAATAGAGTTAGCAAATGAAGTTGGAACAAATGTGAAGGAAAGAAATCCAACCTCCACATATAAATTTTGGTATCATTATCATAGTGATTGCTATCAAAGCCCTAATGTGGATGAGATCATTCCAGAACATACAAAGGAAGAACAAAAGTGAAATAGAAGTGAGGGACACATGATTTTGGAAGAGTTGAACAGTAAAATTAGAACTCACACAGCACCTACACAAAACAAAAAATACCAAAACAAAAACAAACAAACAATCAAAAACCTAGCAGGAGGAGCCACAGCCAAAGATAAGAAATAAGAAATAATGATAATATGGAAACCTGGGGAAAAGTTAGTATTTTTTTTTTAGTCAACAGTTTAAGATATAGTGAAATCAAGAAAGCTAAGGACTTAATGGTCTGTGCTAACTGTAACAAAGAATTATTATTGGCCTTACCAAAAATAAGTGCATCCGTGTGACCAGTACAGAGGTCATTCCTGTGAGCTTGGTGGGATGAGCAGAGAAGACATAAGTTTAAAGGGAAAGGATGGATATGTAGCTAGAAGGGGAGTCAAGTTTTGGGAAGTTTTCTTTTTGATAGGTTATAACTATTTAGTCTTAGAGAACTGAGGTTTTGTCAGATGGTCCCTCCTATTTCCCCTGTTGCCTTGTCCACAGATAATTAAACAAATGTTTGTTGCATTAAAATAAGTTCAAGTCCCTAGATTCAAGGGTAAGAAACAGGTTCTAAAGCTCCAGTGACATTTGAGTCACCTTCCACTGTTAGAACATCTATGTTATTTATTGTTACTCCTTCTCATTTGGGGGATGTAACAAGTTGCTTAAAAAAAAAAAAAAATATATATATATATATATATATATATATATATATATATATATATATATATATATAAATTGATTTTTTTTACAGAGAGGAAGAGAAAGGGATAGAGAGTCAGAAACAGATGAGAGAGAAACATTGATCAGCTGACTCTTGCATACCCCCCACTGGGGATGTACCTGCAACCGAGGTACATGGCCTTGACCAGAATCGAATGAGGGGCCTTTCAGTCTGCAGGCTGACACTCTATCCACTGAGCAAAACTGGTTTCGGCAACAAGTTGCTTTTTATCCAAGATCCAAAGATGGCCGTCTGACCATATGCAACAAGACACCAGGACATGGGTTAAATACTAGGGATGAACAGAAGGTAAATTGACTTACTTTGACTCTTTTTCATTGATGTTCACATCAGGATGGATAATAATTTCCTGGGACCTAAGTTCTAGAATCAAGACAGGATCAAAACAGTTCATTATCAGTATGGTCTATACAAATCCTGGCAATTCAAATTGCACACAATTACCTAATTATCCAGGCACATCCCCAAGCCTCTTTTATCAAAACCTAATCACAGAATACAGATAGTTTGAAAGGATCAAAGAATGAGGAAGTTCTCATTTGGGAAGAAATTCAACTAAAGATTAAAAAACACACAGATGTCCTCATATCTCAAATGTGCACACACACATATTTAGATTAATGTCTGTCTGTCTCTCCTCTCCAACCCTTCCACCCTCTTTTAAATCAATTTTTAAAAAAAGATGTTATAAATATTGGAATTTTGAGAGGCTTTTACTTAATTCCTAAGGAAAAGTATGGGTTTAATAGAATATTAATGTTGATTTTTCCTCCCATAATTTTTATTTCAAACCATTGGCAACTGAATAATTCATATTCAATTACTCATAAATTTGGATGGGATATAATGCATGTCTATTCTAAGGTGGCCCTTTTTTTAACATAGATATTTTAGGAGACCTGTAGTTTGACCAGGTGTATATAATCTTTTTAAATTTTGTTCAGCAAACTCATACATATGGACTATAATATATACTTGAATTGCCAAGTTACAATGAAATTAAAGCAGCCGCCATGGCTAGAGCCCACAAAATCCAACAGAAGACATGGCCCTCTTTTAATAACATTCAACTTGTGTTGAGAACCTACTGGGTGCAAGGCACCATGCTAATTTGTGCACTATTGCTTTTTACAGCAAAGCAAACAAATTGCAACAACCCATACTTGATTCAGCTAGTGTATGTGCTACAATATGATCATGCTCAATTTACTACATTGTAATTAGGGAGATCTGGCTACCAAAACTTCAGGTGGCTGTGTGGTATAATTTGGATGCAAGAGCTTTGTAATCCAAGAGACCTGAGTTCAAATCCCAGAACATTAGAGTAGGGATGTGGATCCTAGAGCCTCTCTAGAAAGGGATGGTAATGACTTCTTTCTTTCTGGGATTTTAAGAGGCCTGGAATATAGTAGGCACTTGAGAAATGATGCACATCTTCCCCAAAGTCAGTACTACTGTTGTGGAAAATTTGTTCTTTGATTTGGATGTATCAATTTTTCATTAAATGTGGAATGCAGGCAGAATGACTGCTTCTTTTTCCCAGCCCCTGACTATGCCAATCTGTGAGGTTTTATGCCAGAAATAAGCAAATGTCACTTACCTAAATCCGGCAGCGAAATGGAAAACTCACTGTTAGTGGACAAAAGGCATAGAGAGTTAGGAAAGAAAGCCATGGTCAGAAAAGCACAGTGAGGCCTAGGTTTCTTGATACTGATGTTTCTAGTCAAAGATGTGGGTAGAGCTTACCTTCCCTGCATCTGTGTTCTGACCCTTCTCCCCTCTTTTAAATGACCTTATTTATCCCAAGTGACCACTTATACCCTTTCCTACCATACAGCTTCAGGCTGCCCCACAGCCCTGCCCTACTCCATCCAGGATTCTATTTCTGCCTCCTAAAGTTCCAAGTTGCCCATCAGATACACACAACCCTCTAGAGACACTGGCTATGCCTATAGATAAACTAAAAGGATGAGGACAGGATTCCAGGCCAGGTGGAGCTGGAAGATGGTAAACTGCTAAGTGAGTCAGGACAGTTGGCCCAGACAGATGATTGGCTTCTTCTTAAATTTCCCAGTTAAGATCACATGAAAGGAAATATGATATAGTAGAAAAAAATCCATGTATTTTAAGCAATTATTTAAGTTCAGCCCTACAGGCCCAGGTACTGGGTATACAAAGTGATTAGGCACAGTTTCTGTCCTGAAGTAGCTTGGAATTTAGTGAGAGAGGAAAAGTTAATTAATGTGACACTGAAAAAACAAAACAAAACAAAAAACACATAATAAAGAAATGTCCAAAGGAACAGCATTTTGGGGAAAATTAGTTCACCTTCATGTAAGCCTCAGTTTCTTCATTTTAAAAGTGAATCCCAATGCCTATCTTATCTTACCGAGTTACTTCTAGCAGTTGTGCCCAGGACACATGAATGCTCAGTGATTCTGCTGGCATGTCTATAAGACCAGACTGGGTGTGTCAGCACTGTGATGTGCAGGTTGGAGTAGAAGTCAGAGGCCATTCTCACTGGATCTTATTTATAAGGGACTGTGGGTGTCATGCTAATCATCTCTGTTGGAAGCATCTACCTGGCTAGTGCCAGGGTCTGCCTCCAGGTCACATTGACTGCAGGAGCCAAATTCCCTCTTTCTCCACAGCCAGGACTATGATTCATAAACTCTATATTTTATTGGATTTCTTGGTCAATCTAATATATCCAACAGACAATTAGACTTAAAGCTGCGTAACTTGGAGGCTTTATCACTGAAAAGAACTTCAAGATAGAATAACATAATTTCATGTTAGTATTTGTAATGACCTTGACAAATTACCATTTCCTGTCCTCATACAATACAGAGCTGCATGTATATCTATACACCTATTATCTCCAGATGAGGGACAGAAGTGCCTCCAGAGATTATGCGGTCTCCCTTTCACTGTATACAATAGGAAACAGGCTGTACAGGGGCAAACACAAAGTGAATTTTCCCAGTTACACATTGAATAAATGGGAGAGCTGAAACCAAAATCCAGACTCTAGGTCTCAATCTCTTCTTATTACCAGTGAAAATGTATTCCTCCCAAACATTAGTCATTAGCAGGGTGACCCTGGAGAGTTCTTTCCAGGCCTAAGACTTGGAGATAGACCAATCAGCTGAAAAGTTCATCTTCCCTCTCCACACATTGCCTTTCTCAAGAGAGGCAAATAAGATTACGAATTGCAGACAAAAAAACAAACATAAAAATAAACAAACAAAAAACCAAAAACACACACACAAAAAAGACAAAAACAACAAAAAAAAACAACAACAAAAAACCCACACCAAAAAACAACACACTGGAACTTGATGGAATAAGAATGCATAAAGGGATATAATTAACAACATAATGCTTACAGATACCAGGAGCATATGCCGAGGGTGATGCTGTCAGCTTCCTTTCCGGATTTTGCTTGAGACTTCCCTCTACCCTTGAGTACTATGTATAACCTTTTTGCATCAATTTTCTAAAAAGGGTCTTTGTCATTTTTCATTAACATCTGTGAGTGTGGTGCACCCAAAGATGGGCAAGAAGGAGGTAAATGGTAGCCAGGGCCTTTGGCTTTACTTTCTGGTATGCTCCCCACTGTGTCTGAGAACAGGATGGAGAGCACCCGGCTATGTGACTATGAGGCCAGCACTGCCAACTCTCTCCTGGAAAGAGAAATAAAAGAGGACTTTTTTTTTTACCTTACATTTTCTTTCAACTTGGTTGTCTTCATCTTAAATCTATCCTTTTCTTTCTTGAAGAATCTCTGTAGTCTCTTAAGAGCTTTGCCATCTAAACTAAGAGGAATCAGAGGGTAGAAACACACCGTTTGAGAGAGTACTAGAAATGGAAGGATGCTATAGGAAAAGGGCCAGAGGCTTGGAACACCCACCCAAGGAAGAGCAGGAAAATGCCTCACCAACTACTCTGTTCTTTGTTTTGGTGTCAATATGAAATAGCACAAGCCAGTCAGCCATGAAGGGAATTATTATATTTCAATACAAATGTTTGTTTACCCTAAATGGTCTCTATTTTGCAGTTTATGGAACAAAGTCTTCCTTTTAGAGAAGATGCCTCAGGAAGCATGGTTTACAAACTATACTAAAAATAACTTATAGGAATTCCTGCTCCTAAAATTCATGTCACTGATTTTTAATTTACCAACAATGATTCATACAATAATGTTGGAACACTGACTACCCAGCTGATGAATCAAGTTTTTCTAAATATGTTCTTGGGTTGTTTTTGGGGTAGAAAGAGGGAGTGATACCTACAGGTTATTCCAACCAGCATGGATCCCCTCTTTTTCCTTAAACCCTCAAACTTCTTGCTTTTGACTATTGCTGTTTTCCTTTCCACAACATGGCCCTCATAACTAAACTTGACAAACAATGTCCACTTTTATTCTTGAAAACCATGGAATGGAGGCAAATTTTTGTTGACATTTACTTATTTCTCATTTATTTTCTAACATAATACCAAAGTCCCTACTTTGGGAGATGAACATTTTCTCAAAAGAGAAGGCAATGTAATTTTAAATTTATACCATGTGATTGAGTACAATTACCGGTGTTCTATTTACCTCCATTCTCTGTGCAAATCCTCTCTAAAGATGGTGGGGACAGGGAAGAAAGTTACTTCTTCAACTCATCATCCTAAACTAGTAGGACATGCCATTAGGTAGGAAGCCAAAAAAGAGAGAAACTCACTCGTTCTTTGTGGAGTTGCTCTTTGTTTTGTATACATCTTCATACATTTCGTTACTATTTTCTTCTGAAATTAAAAAAAAATCCATTCATTATAATGACAATAGTTCAGATTCATATTTAATAACATTACTGGATACTGACCAGGTGCTTAGGTACTTTGATCTTTCTTTTATTTGAATAGTTGCTATAGAAACATATGTGCATATTTTTATAAGCACATGGTAAAAATAATTAAACCTTTATAAAAATAGTATATATATATATGAAAATTAATATTTGCTTCTACCCCTGAATCCAAATCAATAAAAGTTGGTTTATCAACAGATTCTTTTCTTCTGCCTTCCCCCCCACCCTCCCATGGCATATTTAACATACAGCAATCAGAGCCTACTATATATCAGACATTGTGTTGAATTCTGGGGAAATAATTCATCTTCACTATTCTTTCCTTTCACAGCATGGTGTTAGCCTAGCCCAACACAAAAGCTTAATATACATAGATATTCTTTGAATTCACCTTGACAGTGGAGGATGTTCACATTCAGAACAGTGAGTTTAGGGGAGCTATTGAATGTCTCTGTTTAATGATCTCTAAGATGATTTCTCCATCTAAAATTCTGGCATTCTAAGAAGGATAAAACACCCAGAGTAGCATCTGCTGATCTCTCCTTCACTTTTTTGTTCATTTATTCAACAAATATTTTTAAAATGTTATATAAAAAGTACCTGGTATTGTGCTAGGGGTTAAGGGAAGAGAATTATTAATCAAAGAAATAATATAAATATAAAATTATAACTGACAAGTGCTATGAAAAAAAGAGACTTGTTGTTCTGAGATTGTACATCAATGAGAGTGTTCACCGGAGGAGTAATGATTGAGCTGAAATCAGAAGAAAAGTCAAGAGTCATTAGGTGAAGGGTACAGGAAAGGAAAGAAAATTCCAGAAAGAGAGAGAAACCAAGATGGCAGCATAAGTAAACACCTAAACTGCTACCTCATACAACAATTTCAAAACTACAACTAAAAGACAAAATGAACATCATCCAGAACCACAGGAAAGCTGGCTGAGTGGAAATTCTACAACTAGAAGGAAAGAGGAAAGCACACGAAGAATCAGAGGAGCTGCAAAAGGCTGAGGTATGGAGTCACACCTGTGCATGGCTGAGTGCCTGGCTGGCTTTCTCTAGAAGGAAGGAGACAAAAGCTCCTGACTGTGCTGAACCTTAGTTCCGGGCGAGACCTTGGGGACCCACGCTCTTATGGGGAGAATCTGGACTATCAGACAGAAACTCAAGGGAACCATGAAAGGCAGAGCTCTAGAGGCACATGCATGAGTAAGAGAAGAGAGGACTGTCTGCTGAGTGCACCACTGGCTTTCCCTAGCAGATCGGAAACGAAAGCTCCCTCACTATACTGAACTCCAGTACAGGCGAGAATCTGGAAATCCTTCTTCATTGGGGGAGAAACTGGACTGTCTGGCAGTGGGCGAAACTCAAGGGCAGCTTACTTTTAGAATTCTTGCAGCAATTACTGAGGGACACTGAGACCCAGGGCCATCATACGGAAGGGCTGATGGAAAGCCTAGACTGTCTGTTCAGCCCTAAGACTCTGCTCCATCCAGCATAGAGGCTTTTGCAATTTTGCAAGTCTTGTCTCATAGGCTGTCTCCAACATAGAAATTCTCCCAGTGTAGACACAGCTGATCCTTACAACCAATTGGCCTGGAGGTCAATTCCTCCCAGTGATACCAACAATAATCAAGGCTTAACTACAACAAGGCTGTACACACAGACCACAAAGGGGTACACCAAGAGTGTCCACTTCAGGTAATTGGGGAAGCTGAGCCAATGGGCCATATAGGACAAATAGCATACAAAGCTATCCTACCAACTCAGGGAAGCAGTGAAAATGCAGAGACAAAAAACAGATCACAAACTAAAGAAATGGAGGGAAACAAATAACTGGATATAGAGTTCAAAACCATGGTTATAATTTTTTTTTTAAATTTTCTAAAAAAGGCCCATAAATTTAGTGAGACCCTTGAGGACATGAAAAAGGACCAATTAGAAATTAACATGCACTTATTGAAATAAAAAATATTATACAGAGACACAACAGCAGAATAGAGGATGACAAGAATTAAGTCAAAGATTTGAAATACAAAGAAGCAAAATATACTCAACCAGAAGAGCAAAAAGAAAAAAAGAATCCAAAAATTTGAAGATAGTGTAAGAAGCCTCTGGGACAACTTCAAGTGTAGCAGCATCAGAATTATGGGGGTCCTAGAAGAAGAGAGAGAGAGCAAGATACTGAAAGCCTATTGGAAGAAATAATGACATAAAACTTCCCCCACCT